AGTACGATGTTATTCGTAACTATTATTAAACAATCATACCGTAATGGATATACATTAACGTAACGTAACCATTTAAAAAATACCGTTAAAAATATAAAGAACATTTTTTAGACATTATATAATTTATATTTCAATAAAAAATATATATTTATTTGTATTTTTTTATTAAATATTGAATAAAATAAATAAAAAACGCGTATTTAATCATCATAAAAATTATCAATAGCTTCGCAAATATTAAAGATATATTGGTAAAAATTGATATCTAAATTGTTTCATGTTTTTTAACCAGCTTTGTCTAGTAATCTTAACTCTATTTCATTTAATTAAAACTATTGAAATTACTAAAAAACCAGTAATTTCATTAAAAAAAAAATTACTTTATTCATTAAAAGTCAGCAAAATGATAAAATAATGCTAAAATCCCTATAAAAAAACACGTCTGTTAAAGTGTTAATGTTAAAATAAATTCCATACTTGAGCTAGTTGTTCAAGAATATCCAGTTTTGTAAACTTTTAAAATATTTTAAAATGTAAAAAGAGAAAAAAAAAAGGAAAAGGAAAAGGGAAAGAGAGAGATAAGCAATAACCAATAAACAAATAAATCAGTAAGGCTGATGCGCCACTATGACGTGAGGGAAGGATAATATCGCATACCCCTAGGAACACGTGATAATATAATGCATTATGCATAACCCCTAACCCTAAATCTAAAGGGTGACAGATTGTAATTGACAAATATGATTTCACGCATGAAATAATCTCTGTCCCTCAAATAAATAGTAAAAATGAATCAAGGTATGGCGTGACAAATATTGTATGTTACCGTGTTCGCGTATGTGCCACTGGGGGTAGTTCACATGATGAATACTGCTGAAGGCGCAGTCGTTGCGGAAATGAAAAGAATTGGAATATTATTCGGAAGGATATTTAAATATAATTTTAATTTATTAATTACAGTTTTTTTATTTCAATGAATATTGTTAATTATTTTATATTTATATCTTTTTTTTTGAAAAATAATCAAATGTAAAAATGTTATTTTGTTAACTGAATAAACTTTGATTATGTATTAAAATCATTAGCATTATTAGCATAATTATACTATTTTTCGAGAAATTATATTTTATTGATTTCTAACATACTAATCGATTCTACCAAAACCGAATTAAAATATCGAATAAATAAAATATACAGTATATAGTACAATTTCTTTTAATATTTATAGATTTGAAAAATTAATAGCGGAATGATCAAGGAAAATAAAACAGAAAAAGTCGATAAATCAAAAAATCACATTTTCAAAACGAGCAAAACCAACATATTAAAAAAACGAAACGGGATATATAAAATTTATCGCTATACGATGTAATTTTAAACCATAAAAAATAATAACGAAATGATCAAAAAAAAAATAAAAAAAAACAAAAAGCTTACCTACTTGATTAGACTCGAAAGAGATCCTTTAAATAAATAAATAAATCAAAAAGGCGCGTAAAAATAAAATCTTTGAAGTAAATTAAAAAAAAAGAAATGGTTGCGCCTCTTACAAAATTTTAACTATTGTTTTTTCCTTTTCCTTAACTTCGTCGCTTTCATTAGTAGGATTTTGTAAGAGAATTGGACATACAAGAATCTTTGCATTGTCGTTAAGGAATGCATGGTTTAAGCATCGCCAAATAATTAACAGTTTCCGAAGAAATTCTGTGAATTTATAGAAAATTTCATCATGATATGGATGCTTTTGTATAATTTTTGTTAATAATTAAATTTTGAACTTACAATAAGATATTGGAATGGAATTGATTCAAAAGTTGGAATCGATCAATTCGATTAATTGCATTAGATTTTCATAATTTGAACGATAATCACTTTATTTTTTTAAAAAATCTCAAAGAAAAAATTATATTTACAAAAAAAAATTATTTTTATTTACATCTATTCGGGTTGGATATACGAAAAATGCGTATCATAGTCTCATTTATTGCGGGCAAATTGGATAGTTATAGCAATAACATACAAAGTAGCATTAATTCCCAGATAATACTTCAGAATTTCTATGGCCCAATATATAAATTACTTTTATATTATTAATAAATGAATTTATGAGTCTTAATTAAACAAATAATTTGCAGAACTACAATTATCCAATGTAACGTAACACAACTATGAAACAAAATTATTTTTAAACAAATTTTTTTTTTAAATACTATTTGAATGAAATATTTGAATATTAGAAAGATGAAAAAAATTTACGTTTAAGCTTACTAGTTAATCTTTACTAGTATGAAGTTTCTGTTCAAATATTTATTGAAATATCCAAAATTATAATATTTTTAATTGTTAAGTCCCCTGAAAATCTAAAGAAATTTTAAATTATCATATTTATTAGAGTTCATCAAGATACTTTCAATTCATGATTTGGTATGATATTGTTTTTTTTTGGATTTGCCAACTTCTTAAAGATCAATCACCCAACGATAATAAATTTGATAGCAACGCAAAAAAATTTAAATCGCTTATCAGATCACTTTGAAAAACTAGAATTTTATTCAAGCTTAATCATTCCAAAATATTCCTGGAGCGATAAATTTTTGAGAAACCTTCGGAATTTTACTATCGATCAGAAAATTCTATAAGACGTCACAGATCTGTCATAATTAAACCTAACTTATGAAAAAGTGATCTTAAAGAACTGATTCTGTACAGAAAAACTTTAGTATTTCATGAATGTAATGATTTGTGCATCTTGTGCATCCTACATTAATAAACCTTAATGATACTTTAATCAAATTACGCACGGATTAAAAGTAAATTTATACCAGAATCAATTATTTCTAAAACAAGATCGTATGGGTAATCGAATAAGTTTTAAAATTTAATTTAACAAGAAACGATTAAAGCTCACTGACATGTTCAAAGTGATCAAATGTTTACTTGTTATAAATATAATGTATGTAATGTATGTCCACCCTGATCAATGGCCGAGGTTTACATATGGCTGTTGACAAAATTTGAGACATCTGTTCTTTTCGACTCTTGATTTTAACTGCATTGTATGATATATAAAAACATATGTATATAATTATGATAAATGATATCATTTTATTTAGAAAATTTTCCTTAATTAATGGCTTTATTTCAATACTTGGCACTCCTTAATGATACAAGATGAATGACATTTATTGTTTGGTATTTTGTGTTTAAATATCATGCTTTCTCACAGCATTCGTTTGTAAAAAATAGTAACGTACTCTCGTTTCGTTTCTAAACATATAAATATTTCATTAATTGAAAGGTAACTCATATAGCTGAGTGAAAGTGCCGGTTTTTTTTATACAGTACTTCAAGATTCAATATATTTTTGGGCTTTCATGCAGAATTAAATGTACAATTTTAAAGAAAATCCTATTTTTTAAGACAATTATATATTTTTTTTCCACATTAAATGTGTATCAAGTATTATAGGAAATTAATCAAATTTTCACACAATAAATTATTTAAGTTTGAAACGATATTCTTGAATACTTGATCACAATTTCGAATCATCAATTAATTCAATACACCACTAAAAAAAAGAATTATGATATTACATCTAGCGATAAATTGGCATATTATATTTTGAGAGAAACTACCTTAATATTTTCGTCATTTCCATTTCCATGACAAGAAACTTCTTGGGTCCCATCTTCTAATAAAATGGGATGACTATAGAGTGCTAGCTTATCTGATAGTTTATGTGAAATGCTGATTAGTTCACTACTCATCAAATAATCAGAGACTTCTTTAGAAGCGTTGGGATTATAACGTCGAATGATCCAGTCATCGTTATTATCTCTACCGTACCAGACGAGAACTATTTAAATTATGAAAACTTTAGTTCGCAAGATGATTACGTAAATAATATTAATGCCTGAGTCATACCCTCCTGATGCTTCGATACTGGTGTAACTCCATAAATCGTGGCGTGAGAATGTAAAATTCCTCCTGTCGCTTGATGCTTGAAACCAAAGGTAGTATTAAATGGCAAAGGGTTTCCCGTGTTCACATTTGTACCATAGGCTTCAATAACAGTAAAAATACAATTTTTGAAATCGTCTTCCCGATTTATACCAACAGCCTTCGCAAGTTTTTAAATAAAAGTTAACGAAGTTAAATTATTGATCCAATGTAACGGTTAATAATATTAGTAAATACCCTAGAAGTTTCCATATTGGAAGATTTAGACAAATATTTACTAGTAGGTACATGAAAAAGTGTGACCTTCGAGCCATATACAATTTGTTTATCCTGAAATTATTATTTAAATAATAGTTAACAGAAGTGAGCTGATTTCAATTTTTCAAGATGCGAAATTCTAAATATCATACAAAGTAATCTTGCTTCACTTCTTCGGCACATAAACGCCAATTGAAATAGCGAACATTGCTAATTTAAGAAAAAAACGTTTAATATTTTGAGATTGAGCTTAATTTTATTGTTATGGTAAGTCATACCAAATTTCGCCATTAAACCCATTGTCGAAAGAACGTCCAATATATAATGGACCATCATTGAAGACAACCTTTTCAGTTTTAACATTTTGGATACAATAAAACCCGACCCATTCACCGTCTATGTAAACGTCTAATCTCTTTTCCGAATCAGAAAGCGTATAAGCTAGATGATACCATCTATCCAGCAAAAGTCCGTCGTCGAGCTCATAAATTCCTGCATTATTTGTCCAGTTGCCTGTGAATCTAGCATGCAATGTAGATTTTTTTGGTAAAAACTCGAGCCTAGGTGTTCGGATAAACGATTCGGTACCTAAAATATGCGTTTTGTTTTAATTGAAACCGAAGAAACAAAAATTCTAGAAAAAAATAAAGTTGTACCTACCTTTGTGAAATATAATAGCCCAATTGGAAGCATGGCTCAAAAGTTTTAGTCGTAATGTAATTGATAGCTCATCTTTCACCGTGGGTAAGTCAGCATGCTCAAAGACTCGTTGGGTCTGTTCAGTAAAGGTAATTGGATCTGAAATAAGCTCAGCCAACTCTCTAATGATAATTTTCTTCATTTTCTGAAGTAAAGCAATAAAATTATCAAACTTGTTTCATTTTCACTAAAGTAAAACAGATTGAATTAAATCATATTGAAACGGTTTTTTACCTGCGGAAATGGTTTAAAATGCTGTGCTAGGTAAACTCAGCCCTTACGACAATTACGTTTCCAATTGTTCTATTGTGTTCGTCATTGTGTCCCAAAATTATCTAGATTAGCGGAATATAGTTAGAGTTTTGCAGATCAATTGGCCTCCGGCCAATTTTGTCTATCGTCTAATATGTCATCTGGCCATTATGTTTCGTGGACAAAAAGACTCCTGGACAATTAGTCCTTGCTGGATTTTAAGTATAAAAGAAGCTTGATTAGAATAGCATGTTCCTAAGAAATAAGAAATGTATATTTTAGTTAGTAATTGATCTTTTTATCGTTTGCGTTGTCTTTCTTTAAATTCCGTCATTGTCTTCAATTAACGTCCCTTAGAAGGTAAGATCATCCATATTTTGAGCACATTACTTTTGGTCTTAAACATTTATAATTTTTATTATAAAACCCAGCAAATGGTGGTTGTCCGGATGAAATCTCACTCATGAGAATACCAATACTATAGATATTTGATGCAAAAGTATATTATTTATCGCAAATAACTCAAGATGTTACTTTAAGGAAGATTTCCAAATATGACTAATTGTTTATTGGCAATCCAAAATATTAGTGTATGATTAGAATACAATATATTTCTTGAATGCAAATCTCTATGTATCGTATATTCATCATGAATTGTACAAATGATAATATTAATAATAAAAATTCTTTTCATATGAGCTGCTTATGATTTTGTTGTAAAAAAATTTTCTATATCTATATCCATTAAATGTATTACATATTTATTTGATTGATTTCGAGTAAGACCAAAACTTGTAACGATTTATACTCATTTTCCGTTTAACTTAAATAAAAATCAAGATTATTATACTAATATTTTAAGTAGTACTCATTACGTTCCGTACCTATGTGATTGTTATTTGTTATAATCTCAATCAAAATAAAACCACCGTTCCAATCTTATTTCAGAGAATCCACCTTTTGTAGGGAATTTAATATTTGGTAAATTAATGTGTGGGACCAATTCAATTATTCTAAACAATAATTATAAATTTTCCTTCAGACATTTTTTTTTATTAAATGTTCGATTTCATCATTTCCAGACACCCAATCTGAAAATTTGATTTTAAAAAAATTCGAACGCAAATCTCATAAAGTGATGTCGCAAACTTTCTTGCTGATAGTATTCACAATCATTTTTTTATTTCTCATATCTCTCAATTAATTTACGCACCACCCTAATTTTTCTTTCGCATACCAAGAATTGTTCGATGTCATAATTCATGATGTTTAATTCTGCGTCCGTATGGATATTTTCATCTGTTAATGCATGTACTCTAGTATATGTAACACCAACTTTTTCTTTACGTATGGAAGCCACAATACAATGAAATAAATTAAAAAGACTTTTTTTTCGGTATTTTTAACCAATAGGAGATGATCGACCGGTGTATGACAAAATCACTTGTAATCACCAATACAAATTGTTTTCAGGTGGTACATGCCAAAAATATAACGTTATGCATTACATGCATTATTTATATTACTTATTACCTTTATCTTGAAGTTTTTTTTACACGTTAAGTTTAAATGGTTTGTGAGAATTTTAAAAAGAATCGGAAATCCCTAAATATGTACATTTTTATTAAAATAAATAATTGATCATCGATCGAGATATATCTTATTTCGGAAGATAATACAAATTATGATACGAACTCACATTCAATTTATTTCTTACCCTAAAATAGATGTGGTCTAGCATGCATCGAATGAAAAGAAATTATGATTTGTCATACAACGATTTCTTGGATATTTCGAACAATAAAATTAATTTTCGGGATCTCCAAATTTATCAAGATGTCACACAATAAATAAAAATAGGTTTGGAAAACAAAGGTTATGATTTTTTTTTCTATTTCGATGATTTAACGGTAGTGACACATAATTTTTATTTACAATAGTTATGTTCGAAGTAAAACTACTAAAAATGAAATACAAAGAAGTAATTTTAATCCTTTTTTTTTTTATAATTTAATATATTTGTAAAAGAAATTGTACTTCAAAAATGAAAAAATCTCGTTCATAACTTTTGTTAAGAAAAAATCATCTAACAGGAACTATATACTTTCTCACTTATAATTTGATACTTTTATAAATAAATCCCTTTAACTGATTCAAAATAAACCTAAATCATTTTTTTTCTTGACGCCATGAGGCCATACTCATTAATTTCAACTTGTTTGTTCTTTTCTTTAACGTTCTTCTCGATTACATCGACCTCAGCACAATGCTTTGATCAACCATCACCCACTCAACCAAGAAAAAAAATGGCAGTGGCGTGCTCAATGGTAAAGCAGCCAAAGAAAGAATTAAAGTTCCAAGTTTCAAATGACACGAATATGTTTAGTCTTCAATTCTTTTGTGAAATTCAAGATAAAAAACTATGTTCAAAAGCAAAATCATCTTTCGAAGAAGCAGGTCGTATAATAACATCGACTTTAATATTAAATTCACCTATTATAATCAATGCAACGTTTCGAAATATGGAAGATCCAGAAGTATTAGGAGCTGCAGCGCCTTTAAGATTAATGCCAATGAAAGATGATGATGGAATTGAAAGATTGTATCCACAAGCTTTAGTCAAACAATTTCAACTAAATTCACATCCTGAATTTGCTCCTTTTGATATTATTGCCGACTTTAATTCATTGGTCCCATATTGGTTTGAAGGTGATCCTCCAATCACCAAAAAACAAATTGGGTTCTTAGAATTAATTATACATGAATTAATACATGGACTTGGATTTACTTCGGCGTGGGATGATTATTTTAATGAAATTCCTGAAGCTGCTACTCCTGAAATTATTGGTTTAACAACAGAACCTGGTATTACTGATTTGAACGCTACGATGGTCTTTCAAGGATTTCAAGAAAGAGCTTTTGACAAATATTTAATTTTTTTGCCAAATAATAAAACTTCAACATCTTATGCGAACGAATTGAATAAATTTCCTAATGGATCAACTTTTAAAAACGTTGATGATTTTGTCAATAAATTTACCGCTTCGCCGCAATATTTAGTTAGCAAGGAAATATTTAACTATTTCGTTACACCTAAATCTCTCGTTTTCAAACCAAGCATTAGTGATAAAGAAGAAGATATAACATATTTAGAAACTTCTATAAATCCTTATGGACCAGGTAAAGCAAATACACATTAATATGAAATCATAATAATTGATATAATTCTTACTTAAAACTTTTATTTTCCAGGTTCCAGTGTTTCTCATGTTGATTTTGCGACGTATACAAATACTAGTGAATTCTTGATGACGTACCTTCAAGAATCCGGTCGAACTCTCAATGATTCTATTAGAATAGGTGGAAACTATACCGGAGGTGCTATAGGCTATAAACTCCGACTAATTCTAGAAAGTTTAGGGTATAGTAAATTAATTTCAGTTAATCATTCACATTTTATTAAAGATTGGATGATTGATGAATCTTTTCTTTTTAGATATACTACAATGGAGAACCCGAAACCGTATATTCCGTCTCCGCCTGTCTTTACAACCGATAAGTCAGTCTACAATTCTTCGTCAATTATTAATTTTTCATATAATATTTATTTTGCATTCACGGTTGGGATATCGATAATTATAAATATCTTGTAAATTCTGGTGGGAAATATTTTAGTACAAGGATAGTCTTTTAAGTTAGTGTGATAAATTTGAAGTATGCATTAATGATTATTCTACTTGAGAAATTTCTATTTTTATTTTTTCCTTATACCTTAAAAATAGACTTATTTATAGTAATAATTCCAAATTTATCTTGACGGGTATATTTGTTTTTATTTTCCTGAAATTTCAAACATTTCGAGTTGCATTAATTTTATTTTTTTAAGTAAAATTCTTCATTTTCCCAAAAATACAAAATTAAATGTTTGGATCACGTGACCATAAATAAAATTTCATATCCATTACAATTTATGAATTTAATTATATTATAATATCATATTTCTATGATTAATTGTTTTGTAACACAAAGACATAACACGTGATGACGTAACAAAATGTCATTGGTCTATCAGGCTTGCCGAATTTGGACGGACAGAACGACCTTGCATTTAAATGACCTAGAAGTAAAATGTCCTCCGCTATGCTTCGGACAACTAGTTTGGTCACAAAGTGTTTCATGACAAGGTAACTTCAAAACTGATAAGCACACTCTAAATTCAACATCAGGTAAGAACGAGATTTAGTACGAAACCCGGTTGTTATATTGAGCGTGAATTTTTATTTAATTTTTTTTTTTGGAAAAGCATTATTGGAGAACATATTGGCCGATATTATTAGATATATACCACTCTCTTCATTGAATGAATTCTTATCTAAAATTTATGCTTCCTTGTTGGCTACTTTTAGAAAACTTAGGCTAAATTGTATTCTATAGTTTATCGTTATTGCTTATACTGTACATTAAATTTCAGTACACTTACTAACGGTAAATCAAAATTTTAATATATACAATAAAGCATCGCTTCTAAATTAATTGATAACATAAATAATGGTACTCGAGAAGATATTGGACTACATATCCTTTATGTTCTCTTGTCTATTACTAAAGCAAAGTCAATGACAGAATGACGATGTAACCGTTAATATATTTTTATTCATTATTTCTATTCACTTTACTTAATAAAATACAAAATATTAAAATGTTCATACTAAAACGATTAGCTCACTGATTTTTATGAAGATCAATTATTATATTTGTAAATTTTCATAAAAAATAAAAATTTGGGGATGGTAGTGTGCTTGTGATGGTTAATCCAACATACTTGGCCATTAAAATATATTGATTTGCTTAAACACTCTAGTTATTGGCTAAATATCAGCCGATAGGCTGATATAACCTCTGCCCAATAAAAAACCATAATTGTGGAAATAATATAAAAGTAATTAACTATTAAAAAATTGAATAAATAATTCACCTTTTATAGCAGATTCAACTCATTATCAGAAAAGGTAAAATAGAAAGAAAGATAATGTTAGAGCAAATAAAAAGGTTTTTTTATCAAACCATACAAGGCTTAATAAACGAATGTTACGCTTGATTTATAACATTATATGTTGGATATTTATGACGTTACATTATAAGACTATTATTAGTTTAGTTGAAATATCAGCCAAACAAAAAATGAAAAAATAATTGATTTTCTGGCTTGAACAAAGGAAACTGGTATGATTTATTGTATTCTAATTCGAGGTATACACAAAATTCTTGTATGTTTAATTAATAAAATGCATTTTCTGAAAAGTTGTATTTATTAAATTTAAGGTTTATTGCAAATATTATAATTACTACTCTATAACCTTATTTTTAAATAAATACATAATATGAAAAGTAATCTTAACCATAAAATAACTTTTGACTTTAAGTAATTTTAGATAAATAATATAATTTCAATAGTAACAAATCACTCTGTATTAAACTTTATTTTAATTTTAAAATAATCACTATAATTAAAGTTACTTAATTTTACCTTCAGGAATTTCTAACCCATTTTGATCTTCTGAATGAAGATTTGAATTATTATATAGTTCATCTTCATCTAATTAGATTAAATCGATTAAATTACAAGTACAATAATAAAGTAATTAAATTTTATCAATTACTTACTATCGCTCGCCAGACCACTTCTTTGACTATAATGCATTCCAATTTCATCATTTATATGAAATTTTCCTAAAAAAAAAATTTATATTAGAAGAGATTAAGAATTAAACAAAACTTTATAAATAAATATACCTTCATCATTGAAATGTTTTATTTTTTTGGTTTAATTTTTAAATTTTCTTGATTTTCTAAATAAAATAAATAAAAAATGATAATAATTATTAATTTGCATAACGGTAACGAAACCTACACAAAGAAATGATGAATTTCTTTTAGATTTGCAAATCTTAATATCTGAAAAATTATAAATTAAAATTATAAATAAAGTTCAAATTATTAAATTTCGATAATAAAATATTGCAAATTTCTACACTTACCAGGAATTGTTGTAGAATCATTCTTTTCATTATAATCTTTAATTTTTTAAATATTTAGATTAATTAATAAATTTCTTATTTAAAACAAGTATTACTTACTATTTGGAATATTATAAACTTTTTGTATAAAAAAAGAAAAATCAAATTAATATAAATTAATGTTTAATATTAAAAATTAAAATGACAACCTTCTTGCTCTTCTGTAAGTTAAAAAATAAAATTTAAATTTTATTTAATAAAGAACATAATAAATAAAGTTAATAGTTTACCTTCGCTAGCATTTCTTGATTCAGGTAAATCCTTAAAAGTGTAAAGTTTACTAAAATTTTTAACTAAAGAACTAATAGAATTAGAACTTATACTAGGCTTTGCATTTGATTGTGTACTGTTAAAATTAATGATTTGTTCTTTATTTTCATTTTGATAATATGATTTTTGTATTTCTGTAATTTTATCATCGAGGGTATCAATATCACATCTCTTTAATGGATCAGCATCCCAACACTTAACCATTAAATTTCTAATTTCTGTTGGAGTTCCTTGTACAATTTGTGGTCTCATTCCATTCATTATTTTCATCACAAGATCATAATCATGGACATAAGAAGCAAAAGGTGGTTGTCCAGATGAAATCTCCCACATAAGCATACCAATACTATATATATCCGATTTAAAAGTATATCCTTTTCCATTAATAACTTCAGGCGCTATATAAGGAAGATTTTTATATATATTTCCTAATGGTTTATCAGCAGGTCCACAAAATCCAAAATCACTAATATACCAATTACCACTATATTCAGAATATAATATATTTCCTGAATGCAAATCTCTATGAATAGAATTTTCATAATGAAGACATAAAACTGCTGTGGTTATGTTTTCAATTATGGTGATTCTTGGTTTCCATGTAAGTTGGTTATGATTTTGTTGTAAATACTTTCTTAAATCATTTTTGAATAAGATCATTGCAAGAAAATAATAATCTTTATTTTGTGGATCTTGAGTAAGACCATAAGATTTAGCAACACTTCCCCATTTGCTGCATAATATTAATTGAGATTCAGCCTATTAATTAAAATTTGATTGATTAGTTTCCTTTTTTCTATTTTTTTTTTATAAAAAAACAACAATTAATAATACTTTAAAATTACATACCTCTTCAAACCAACTTCTATTAGCACTTTCGACATTTTCTAATTTATTAAATATGACTTCATGTCTTCCATATCTTATTAATATTTTTTTGATTGAATCCATTCGTCATAATGTCCATCAATCCAATCTGCCGTATATATTTCTGAACATCCACCTTTAGTTAAATATTTGATATTTTGCAATTTATCGTATGGGATCCATTCAATTATTTTAAAAGGTTGAATTGTTACCATCTGACATTTCTTTATTAAATTATCAATTTCATTATTTCCAGATGTCCATTCTGAAAATTTTAATTTTAAATAATTTCGAATACAATGCTCGCAAAATGTTATTGCGAAACATTCTTGTTTGCAATTTTCACAAACTCTTTTCATTCCTTGATTATAAATAACCTTGTAAAATTCATAACTTCTATTTAATTTTAATATTGCCTCTGACTTTTCCTCGTCTGTGAGAGATTTTTCAGCGTAAATTGTTTTTTCTCTTAGTTCATTCCATTCTTCTATGTCTAAGTCATTGTTATAATTTAATACACATGCTCTATCATATGCATCTTTAACTAATTCTCTACAAATGGAGGTCATAATGCAATGAAATAGAAAATAATTATTCAAAAAGCAAGCTTAACTCCGTGTTGTATTCCAAATAGAATTTGATCGACAATGTATATCTAGTTCTACATAATTTGTCATTGCATTGCGAATGGCGCAAAACGTTGCATAAGATGATGATAATACTTTAAATTTGGTTATTTTTGTATAAATATTATTCTTATAGTTTTCCTCTGTAATAACCCATTTAAAATTCGATTAAATTTTTAATTGAGTTTTTTATATTAGCGCTTTAGAAATTTGCAGATTGAAATCGATTCTACCAAAACAGAATTAATCGATTTTACTTTAGTGGCGCAGTATGTGCGACTATAACTATAATAAAACTGTATATTAATTAGATTTGTGAAAAACAATAGTGAAAGATTAAGAAGCTAGCAAATCTAAATATGTAGGAATATATGAAGCAACTATATTGAGAAGCAAAAACTGAATGGAAAATAAAATAATTGATCATTGCACAATAATAACAACGAAATGATCAAAAAGATCAAAAAAAATACGTAGCAGTTATACTCGATAGAAATCCTAAATAAAAATAAATCAAAAGAGTGGAAAATTATTTCTTTTATCGCGAACCCGAAATTAAATTAAAAATTTAAAAAAGAATGATTTCGCATCTAAAAAAATTATGTTATTGTTTTATCCTTTTCCTAAATTCTAAGTTAGATATCGCCTTTGTTATTTATAAGTTCTTGTGAGATAATTGAATTTAAGAATCTTTGCTTAGTCGTAAGTATAAAGGACTGATTTTCTTTATCCATTCGTATAAATAATTCATTGATACTTTAATTTTGAAAATTTAGTTTTCGGTTTTGATTATTCGATTATAATCGATTTTATTTATGAAAATTCTATTTTTTGCTAAAAATTTTATTTACCAAATAAAAAGTCATTTGCAAATTATTATTTATCTAAAAGTTATTTCCAGTTCAGGTCCAGTTATTTGAACAATTTAGTTTCTGATTAGCAAAATAAATTTTTAGATCCTCGTGACATAAAATTTTTAAATTGACATCACCCAGTTTTTATTTTGTTAAATTTTTTTATAATAAAGTATATACCCACCATACCATACCATTACAATTTTCTTTATATAAAGTCACTGTAAAAAAATATTTGTAAAAATTGAGCCAAAATTTTTTTGTCCAGCCTTAATGTTAAAACAAACTTTCTTCAAAAAATTTTTTTTATGTCACATTAAATTGAATATCCTTCTCAAATAGCGAATAGAATAATCATTTCATCCCATTCAGGTGATAATCAAAAGACACAACCTTGCTATTTACTGTATGTCTCAAGTATATAGGTTAGGTTATATCTTATCATAGCTAAATTAAACATTAATTTACAAATGCGAAAAATGTGTTGCAAATCATCAAAAATGAGAATCCTTAAAGGAAAATATGATAAAATAGAATCACTAGTAAAACGACATTGTAAAATAAAGTTATTAATGCAAAAAGGATACTTAACATTACAGTAAGCTTCATTTTCTATTGTAAATATTTATAAAATACAAATGCAAATATGGTATTACAAAATGGAAATTTAGCTAATCTACAAAAGCTTCTTATTCTACAAATAAGAAAAAAATATATAGTATAATTGTTGATCTTATAGATTTAATATTAATTTATTGTAAACTTTAATAATTAAATATTTATCACATTATAATCTTACAGCGATTCCAATCCAATCCAATCTAATCCAATCCAGTCTAACAAACTTTAGATCAGTTCAAAGAATATACTACTTATTCATTTCATTTCATCCTTTATTGATATAAATATTTAGCAACAATATTATTTCTTTATTATATTATTAATGTATATTTGATTATAAAAGGCATTTTTTTTTCTAAAATTCAGATTGTTTTATATATAATCAAATTCTAAATTATAGTAATTATAAACTTATAAATTTACTAATTATATTAAAATAAATTTTATTATAAATAAGAAAAAATAATCAATTGTAAAAGTCATTTTTACTCACAAAAAAATAATTTATTAAAAATTTTATTTTGTTTTTTTACAAAAATAACAAATCATTTTTGAAAAATAATGTCAAAATACTTGCATAACTTTCAACAATTCTTTATATTTCTGAATATAGAAAAAAAACATTAGATGAATTTATTATTAAAATGGCTATTAAACATATAAAATCTATTATAAACTCAAAATTTGCAATTAAATCTTCTGATAATCAAATTGATATAAAAATTGCTATTTGTTTCAAATATTATATTAATTAATTTAAAAAAATAATTTTATTAATTATTATTTAATTATAACACAAATAATTTTAACTTTGGCTATGATCTTAAGCATTAAACTAGAAGACTTATCTATTTACCAAATAAATATTCTTTAGTTTTAGATTTAATACTTTTTATTAGGTTATGGGTTATGCAATTTGATTTGATCAAATTCGAATCAAAGAATATTTATTTATTTAAATCTAAATTAATGTATAATTCAATTTGACCAAATTCAAATCAAATATTCAAATATTTGAATTGATTCAAATTAATAGAAAAGCAATTTCTTAAGCTTCAGTAATAATTTTACTAAAAAAACAATAGCAAAAATGCTTTTACAGCTTCAAAAATGCTTTTTTACTTAGAAAAACATAATAAAAAATGCCTTCAAAGTTATTTTACTAAAAAAAATATAGTAAAAATACAACTGTTGCTTAAGAAACTTTATTTTATTAAGAAAACATAGTAAAAGATCGCTTTTACAGCTTTAGAAATATTATTTTACTAAGAAAATATAGTAAAAAACGTTTTTGCAGCTTTAGAAGCGTTATTTTACTAAGAAACCTAGTAAAAAATACATCTGTAGCTTTAGAAACTTTTACTAATAAAATAAATTTGAAGCTGTGATGGTAGTTATCACTAATTTTCTTAGAAAACCAAAGTCACAAAGTTGTTTTACTAAATTTTTATTAGTAAAAATTCTCCTATTATTAAACTTATTTTATAAAAACTATATTTTTAAATTTTTTAGTATAATTACTAATAATTTCTTACTTAAAACTTTAGAATAATTTTATTTTAATATATTATTATAAAAATTAAAAATTTTTTTTATATTTAATTTGATTTGATTTGATTTAATTTAATTTGATTAATCAAATTCAAATTAATTCAATATTGAAGAACCCTACTTCTTATAAAACTTGGTATATAATTTGAATATTTTATTTTAGATAGATAAGCCAAATAACATTTAAATGAAAAACATTTATAAATCAAACAATAATAAAATATAATCTTAATTTTTATTTAGACGAATTAACATCAATTGAAGGAAAACTTTATTTGGAATTATATAACTTTAGTTTTTTATGTACTAAATAACAATCAAATTTTGAATCAAAATCTACAAAAAAATACCTTGATCTTTTATAGTCATCATCATTACTATTAATATTATTAAATATAGTAACTCTAAAATTAACAATTTATAATAAAATTCAAAAACAATAGCATTTTATATTTATATTAGAAAAATGAGAAATAAAAATGGAATTTTAGCTAGACAAAATAACAAAATTATCAAATATTATGTCAAATACACTTATAGTGGCTAAAAATACAATGAAAATTTTTAAAGATATACTTAAGAAATTTCTGAAGAAATTTAAAAAAAAAGAATCAACTTCTGAAATTATGTTTGTATTAAAAAATCTAAAAATTTAAATATAAAATTATAGTTTTATCTCATTATAATTGCATTAAAAAAAATAAATACAAATCAGTTTTATCTTGTTGAATTATATTTATACAAAAAAATAGTTAAAAAAAGAAATGTAAATCAAAATTATACTTTATCTTGCTGCAAATTATATCTATATATGGGTAGTATGCTATTAAAATTAAAGTACAAATTATATGATTTACTATATATTACTTATATATAAAATAGAATTGTATTTTAGGTTCTAATTATAATAATTTAGCATTAATTAAACAATTATCATTATTTTTTATTTTATAAGTAAAAAATAAATAATAATACTTAGCTGAAAATTAATATATATAATAATGTAAATATTTTTAAACTGAAAAACTAAAGAGATATAAAAAAATTTAAATTAATAAAATTTATCATAAATAAAATCGATTGAAAATTTGACACTAATTTAAATGAAAAAAAATTAATTTTAATAATATTTAATTGATGTAATAAATTAAAAAAAAATTATGATAATATTACTGAAAATCACCTGCAATATAAACTGAAAAACCAGAAATATAAAATAAAGAAATAATTAACAATCATTAACAATTTCACTTACTGAAAATAATTAAAAAATTTAATAATTAATAAAAAATGAGAAATTTGAAAACCCATTTATCTGAAGTGAAAACCTGCCTAAAGATCTAAAAAAACAAAGTAATTAATAATCAATATTAATAAAAAATAATCCAATAATCTAAAAGAATTTTAAAGCAAAATACTACCTAAAGACCTGAAAAATAAAAATTCTATCCAAAGCGGCTTTTAAGTAAATAATCTAAAAAATGAAAAATATTAATGACTAATAAAATAAAAATTAAAAAATTTGCTATCTACTTATTAAAAACAATATAAATGAAAGTTTTAAAACAAAAAATAATATTATCAATTATTAAAAATAAAAAAAAAAATAGTAACCTACTTACTTGAAATAGCTTTTAAGCAGAATATCTAAAAAAAATAAAACCCAAAAGTAAAAACTCATCTAATGACCTAAAAAATAAAAATCCATTTATCTAAGGCAGATTCTATATAAAAAAATCTAAAAAAATAAAAAAAATATTAATCATCAATAAGAGAAAAAAAAGTAGCAATCTACTTATCTAAAATAACTTTCAAGCGAAATAATCAATAAAATGAAACAAAAAAAATAGCAATTTACTAATCTAAAGCGGCTTTTATGTGAAAGATCTAAAAATATATTAATAATTAATAAATAAAAATAAAAATAAATATTTGATAAGTATTTTTTTTTAAAAAAACATCATTTTGTTTAAAGTTTTATAGTTTGCGTCATGTTACATTGTTCAAAAATTCATTTATAATTAATAAAATAAGTGTATACACTAGGCCATAGAGATTTTGAAGTATTATCTGGGAATTAATGCTAAGAATTTACGTTCTTTGAATGAAATGATTATGCCAATTGGCCCCAAGAAATGAAATTAAAATACACATTTTTCGTACTTCCGAAACGTTTGAACCAAAAGCAAAAAAATATGATTGGTTCTATACCAATAAAGAATGGAATCGAAGCTGAATCAGACATCTATTTTACATAAAATGTCAAATTTGTGAAAATGCATTTTTTTATTGATAATATAATTTTTTCTTGATGAGTGAATTTTAATAATTAATATTTTTGGCGTTCAAATTATGATCAAAAAGATTGAAGCGGTATAAATAGAATTAAATTATCGATACATAAACCGAACTTTTGAACCAACATTCGAGAAATAATTAATCGCGATTAATCGATTTTTCACCTTTTGGATCAATTACAATCTCAATATCGTACTATAAGTTCAAAATTTTAATTTAATAATTAACAATACAATATATCCATATCATAAATGTAATTTTCTATAAATTCACAGGATTTATTATTATTTATCAGCGTATTCTTTACCTTTACAACAATGCAAAGTTTCTTGTATGTCCAAATCTCTCACAAACCTGATTAACGAAAGCGAGATCTTATTCTGAAGTCTATGAAAAGGAAAATAATAAGAAAAAATTTTGTAAGAGGCGACGCAATAATTTCTTTTTTTATTTACTACAAAGATTTTATTTTTCCGCCTTTTAAATTTATCTTTATTTCTATTTATTTTATTTTAAGGATCTCTCGAGATGAATCACTTCGAAAGGCTTGAAAGGTTTTGTTTTGTATTTATTTTTTTTGATCATTTTGTTGTAATTATTATGTATTCAAATCAAATCGTATAGCGATCGATTGTTTATTTTCCGTTTTGTTTTTTAATAGGGTTATTCTGTATTTATTCCTTCTCATTTAGGTTTGTTCGATTCTGAATGACATGGGATAGTTTTTTTTTTGGCTTATCGTATTTTTCTGTTTTTTTCTTGATCATTCCGCTATTATCTAAAAATGCTCAAAAGATATTGTACTATATTTATTTTTTTCCTATTTGATTTACTCACATACTGCGACAATAAAATATATTCAATTTTTTGCGATTAATTCGGTTTTGGTATAATCGATAGGGATACGAAAGTTCCAAATGGGAGCAAACGTCAGTTCCATTCAATTTTTGAGTCGAAACCGTGTAGCTCGAACGGAATTATCGGTTCTATGAGAACCGACTTAAAGGAGTCGGCTCTTTTATTAATTATTTGACTATTTTAAGAAGTAAATAGTATAAATGTAAATTACAGAATGAGTTTAAATTTGCAACTGTAATTTATGTGGCAAAGTAATTATGTAACGCAAATATTTTGTGACTGTAATTTGTAGCAGAAATTTTGTATGTTACGGCAATAATTGAAATAGTAATTATGTAATTTCAAATTTTAAAAAATGACAATCATCGAGAAAGAATTTTCTCGCTGGATGGATAACAATTTAGTAGTGAATAAATAATGTAGTTAAAAATAATTATGAATAAATATAAATAATTTAAATGATTATTTACAGTATTTATATGTGTTGCACACAGTTCGAGACGTTTATTGGTATAAACGATAGAAAGGGTAAGCAGAAGGTTTATTTATTTAAATGACTTTATTAATAACTAATGAAATAAATCTACGTAAATAATGTATTGCCTTTTGCCTCAATCGTCGGCGCTCTATACGATCAGATACGTAATTTATTATTATATACTTTCGTTATCGTTACAAATAAAAGGGAAAGGGGTAAATCCTAATCTTAACTATTATCTAGGGAACATAGGGAAAACATTATTCTTCACAAGCGAAATCCCGCTTTTTTTATACTTAAAACTCAGCAAAGACTAATCCTCGAGCCGGATAGCATATTTGCCAGAGGACAATTAGGCCAACGTTCTACAAAAAGTCTAACTAAATACTAATAAAACTTAAAAATTAAACTATACAAAAATGGGACACAATGCCTCGGAACTAATAGAACACGATCGAACGATTTGATTTCTAATTTATTTCTTGCTTTTAGTAATTTAATTATTAGAATTTATTTAATTTATTTGAAATTAAATAATTTATTTTAACCAGTTCCCGGGAATCTCTAGTAAGATAGGTACAGTTCATTAAAATCAATAAAAATTTATTTCTAAAAAAAAATAGTGTTAATATTATTAGATTAAAAATACATCATAGTTTAAATAGTCTTCGCAACGACTGCGCCTTCCGCAGTATTAGTCACGTTAAAAAATCATGTGATCCTTACTTTGCCATACGTAGAACAAAGTTGTACAGAAAAGTGTTCGATCATAATCTATTTGGAACACAAGAGTTTTATTCCTCATTTTTTAATAATTTTTGTTTCATTCATTATGTCTTCCATTCGTAGGGAAATAGTTAACGCTGCATATACTAGATCATTTGCATTAACAGATTATAACCTTTACTCAGACATAGACAAACGGTATGAATTTAGACAACAAACAATTTACGCTGACGAATCTCTCACAGACGAGGAAAAATCAGAGGCAATACGATTATTAATCTTTAATTATGATTATTACAAAGTTACTTTAAAACTAGGAATGAAAAGATTTTGTGAAAACTGCAAACAAGTATGTTTAGCAGCAAATTATTGCGAGCTTTGTATTCAAAATTATTTAACATCAAAATTTTCAGAATGGACATCTGGAAATTATGAAATTGATAATTTAATAATGAAATGTCAGATAGTAGCAATTAGTCCTTCTAGAATAATTGAATGGATCCCATTCGATAAATTGCTAAATATCAAATATTTTACTAAAGGTGGATGTTCAGAAATATATACAGCAACCTGGATTGATGGAGGAGGTTATAAAAAATGGGATTCTATCGGAAAACAATTAATAAGATATGGAAGCGAAGAAGTAATTCTTAAAAGATTAGAAAATGTCGTAAAAGCAAATAGAAGTTGGTTTGAAGAGGTATGTAATTTTAAAAGTATTAAGGATTATTAGCTTTTTTATAAAAAAAAGAAAGGAAGAAACTAATCAATCGAATTTTAATTGTATAGGCTGAATCTCAATTAATATTAAGCAGTAAATGGACAAGTCTCGCTGAAGCTTATGGACTTACTCAAGGTCCACAAAATAAAGATTATTTTCTTGTAATGCGTTTATTTAAAATAGATTTAAGAAATTATTTACAACAAAATCATAACCAAATTACATGGAAGCAAAGAATTAACATAATTCTAGCCATAATCGCAGGAGTTTTCCGCCTTCATCAAGAAAATTCTATACATAGAGATTTGCATTCAGGAAATATATTATATTCTGATTATAGTGGTGGATGGTATGTTAGTGATTTTGGATTTTGTGGCCCTGCTGATAAACCATTAGAAAGTATATATGGAAATCTTCCTTATATAGCGCCTGAAGTTATTAATGGAAAAGGATATACATTTGCATCAGATATTTATAGTATTGGTATGCTCATGTGGGAGATTTCATCTGGACAATCCCCTTTTGCCTATTTTAATCATGATTATGATCTTGCAATAAATTTAATAAAAGGAATGAGACCACAAATCGTACAAGGAACTCCAACGGAATATAAAAATTTAATGATTCAGTGTTGGGATGCTGATCCATTAAAAAGACCCGATATTAATACCCTTCAGGATAAAAGTATAGAAATTCAAAAATCGTATTATCAGAATGAAAATAAAGAATCAGACATTAATTTTAATAGTACACAATCAATTGCAAAACCTAATTTAAGTTCTAATTCTATTCGTTCATTAGTTAGAAAATTTAGTAAACTCTACACTTTTAAGGACTTACCTGAACCAAGAAATGCCACGGAAGGTAAACTATTAATTTTATTTATTGTTCAATTTTAAATGAAAATTTAAATTTTTTTATTTTTAATTTTTAGAAGAGCAAGAAGGTTATCATTTCATTTTTGAAATATTAAATTTTAATATAATATTAATTTGATATTTCTTTTTTTATAAAATATAGCTTATGATAGCTTGCATTACAGTCTTAATATTTCAAATAGTAAGTAATACTTGTTTATAAGTAATCATAATAAATTTAATAATTAATAATTAATTTAAATACCATAAAAAAAAATACAAAAAATCCAAAGATTATACTGAACAGAACGTGTCTACAGCAATAATTGGTAAGAATATATATTTTAATATTTTGCTTTAAATTTAAAATTACGCTTATGATTCTATTTTATATAAACAGAAATGAATATTGGCAAATCAAAGTGGAATTCTTATAACTTTACAATGGTAATGATTCATTTCGTTAATATTAAGCTTTTAAACTTTTTATTATAATTTTTTTACTTTAATTAGAAAATCAAGAAGATTTTAAAAATTAAATCAACAATGATAAAACTTATTAATGGTAAAGGTAAGTAATATATTATATTGTAAATTTTATTTAATCATTATTATTTTAATACTATAGTTTTCTTTTAGGAAATAAACATACAAATGATGAAATTGCAAGGCATAGCGAGAGATGTAAGAAATTGATAGATCTTATTATTTATTACTAAAATTATAATTTAATCATTATAATATAATATAATCCCATTAGATGATGATGAAATATTTAATAATTCAAATGTTCATTAGAAGATTAAGATATTTTAGCGATCAAATTATTAAATTAATTTGTAACTAATTATTATAAATATATGTATAAAACAAAGGTAATTCAATGTTAACATTACTTAAAAACTTTAAGTTTTAAATCGATAATTAAAAAAGTTCGTATTTTCATTTTTTGTATTTTATTACATATTAATTTAACATTAGATTACAGAGTAGCAATTATTTTATTTTGCAATATACCTTAAATTTAAAAAATAAACTGGAGTTAGCGGTATATTATTTTTTGGCATAGTAGTAACTAGTAACAATTATAATTTATTAATTAAAAGTTAAATCTGAAATACTTTAGGATCTAAATTAATTTTTTTAATAGATTATCAGTTATATAAATAAGTTTTTTAATTTATAATTATTTTCATAGAAGAGAATTTATTTTATTTATTTCTGTTAAATAAATCTGAGTTAAATTGTAATTAAATTGAAATTGATCATAATTATGATAGTAGAGATGAATTAGGGTTAAATTTTAATTGATTATTATATTGATTTTAAATAATTAATTTATTTATTAAAATAATATTATTAATTAAAATTGAATTAGAGTTGAATCAGGGTTAAATCAGGATTGATTATTATATGATTAAATTAATAAATAAGTTTATAAATTTTTTATATTAATTTGTAATTCTATTTTTTTTTTAAATATGAATTTTAAAATATAAAAATTATAATATTTATAAATCCTTTGTTACATTTTTAAAATTTATAATATGAATGAAAAGTTTTAAAATGTATTAGAAGAAAATAATTAATAGCAATAAATTTTATTACAAATAAAAATTAAAAAGCAATATAAGAAAAAAATAAATATCAAAAAAGAATTGAAAAAAATTGATAGTTTTATATTCATTTATTGTTAATGAAATTTGATATATAATGATTTTGAAAATCACTGAACAACTTTAATTAGTTTTGAAAAACCTACTTCATTTGACTAATATTCCATAATTTATCTTGAAAGAAAAAATTTAATAAAAAATAAATTAGTTTATTTAAAAAAAAAAATTAATAGTTTTGTGAATATTTATTCAATGCTAATGAAATTTGATATACATGATTTCAATACTTACTAAATAACTTTAATCAATTTTAGAAAGTTTTCTTTATTTGACCAAAGTATCAAAAATTACCTTAAAAAAAAATATTTAATAAAATAAAAAATTAAAATAAAAATTACTATATTTAGAAAAAAATTAATAGTTTATAAATATTTATTCAATGCTAATAAAATTTGATACACTATTATTTTAATACTTACTAAATAAATTAATTAGTTTTGAATAGTCTACTTCATTTAACCAATGTTTTATAATTCACTTTGAAAGAAAAAATTTAATAAATGAAAAATAACATATTTTTAATTCTTTAATTTATTATCAAAATAAAAGAGGTTCAAACTGAAATATGTTAATACAATAATTAATATTTTATTACAAAAATAATAAAATATTAACGAAAAATAAAAATTAAAAAATAATTTTTTGATAAATTTTTTTTTGCTACTATAATACTAATATACAAAAATGTAATACAAGTAATGTTATAATAAATGTATTGCAAAAGAAGAAAAATCAATTAATAAAGGTTAGCAAAAATCAATGAAATCAAATTTTATAAAAAAAACTATTTATGATGATCAAATTAAATATATGAGAGCTGTTCTATTAAAAATGGATTATGAGACTAGTAAATTGATTTTGAGTAATTGATGATCAAAAATAGTTATGTCACAATAAAAATACTTAGCTAATAAAAAATTACTCTAAAAATAATATTGATCTAATCAATTAATAAGACGATACTTTAATTTTATATATATAACATTTATTATAATAATGATTTTTACAAATATTAAATTATTTTAAAAATAATGAAATTATAAATTATTTAAAATTATACTATTAAATCCACCTTATCAAAAATATTATTACATCAATTTCATAACATGAGAGATTTTTGAGATTTTGCTATTAAAATCATACTTCAAAGCATTTTTATATATAGGAGACAGTTAGTAGAAAAGGGGGAAATCCAAAATTTTTGTTAATTTTTATTATTAAGCTAAATTTGTACACATAATCGAAAAGCAGGGTGGACATACTTATATCACATGTCGATCATTTTGCCGATCATATTTTGTATTATCACATCAGCGTTTGCAA